ATGAATGGGACCCCTTCTCACACGGAGGAGAGCTAACGGGACGCCTTCCTCCCTGTGGACTGAGGCTGTGATGTTAGAGGCGGCAATTAATCACCGCGGGCCTGGCGGAGGGGCCTCCGGCTGGGGGGGGGAGGGAGGGAGGGAGGAAGGTCTGGCAGGTGAGTCACTGCGGGAGAGGTGGCTGCGCAGGGCTCAGGGGCCCCGCCTTTGCTGTGCCCCCCCACCCCCTCCGAATTCCTGTGGGAAAGGGTCTGAAGGTGTGGTCGCCCCCTAGGCCAGGGGAACAGCCACTTCGGATTAAGCAGGTTCGATTAAGCAGGATCCTGAAATAATAAATTCTGCCCAGAGGGCCAGGGATTAGTACACGTTTATTGATGGTGCCAGCCCACTGAGCAGATGAACTGAATGAAGAATGAATGAATATAGGAGCCCGGCCGGCGTGGCTCAGTGGTTGAGCATCCACCTGTGAACCAGGAGGTCAGGGTTCGATTCCTGGTGGGGCACGTATTCGGGTTGCAAGTTTGGTCCGCAGGGTGAAGCGTGCAGGAGGCAGCCGATCAACGATTCTCATTATTTATGTTTCTATCCCTCTCTCCCTCTCTGAAATATACGAGCCCTAACCAGTTGGTGGATAGAACGTCGCCTGTGGACTGAAGGGTCCCAGGTTCGATTCCGATCAAGGGCATGTACCTTGCTCTCTCTGCTTGAGAGAGCAATCCAAGCAGAATCCCACACTGAGCTCCTGGTTCATGGGTGGTTGCTCAACCACTGAGCCACACCAGCCAGGCAGCACTCATTTGACCTTCGTGGTGGGCGGACAAGACCCTCCCTAAGGTGGGAGGGATGTACCTCTGCAGCCTCGTTTCCTGCTAAGTGCTGTCATGCTTACTCCCCTTCGCAGGCACGGAAGGTCTGCTTTCCCTAAACGACTATAGCTGCTCCTGCTTCCACGCCTTTGCACAAACTGTTCCGTTTGCCCAGAATATCTCCCCAACGTGTCTGCCTGGGAGCTCTCCTCCCCCCTCACCTGCCTGGAGAGCCCCTTACCTTCGCTTCAGCACCCGCCACAGGAGCCAGCCCCACCGGGATGCCGTGGGACTTGGGCTCTGTCCCCAGGGTGGCGGGCTGGGCGGAAATGCTGACCTTTGGGCTGAGGAGGAGGAGGACAGGGAGAAGAGAGCCACGGCTCTCTGAAGGCCACGAGCTGTTTGCCTCGCTCTCTCAGAAGCGTGTCCTCTCCCCCACAGGATGGCCACGTGAGGAGCAAGGCCGGCCCTGGAAATGTCAGTGCTGCTCGTGATGGTACCCCGGCCCGGCGACCTATGGGTCCCCCCTCGGTCAGCGCCTCCTCTGCGCCCATGTCTCTCGCCCTGAAGGCTAGGGCTCTGTGTTTTGTCCTGCTTTGGTGTCTCCAGCCGTTTGGGTGATTCATCTGAGATGTTCAGGAGATTTTTGTGGAAGGATGAAAAAGAGATGTTTGTGCATGGAATGCAAATGATAACGTTGCCTACCCTTTGTTGCTTTGAGTGTCAAATGAGAAAAAGTGGCTATAAAAACTAGTACCTGCCCAAACCGGTTTGGCTCAGTGGATAGAGCGTCGGCCTGTGGACTGAAAGGTCCCAGGTTCGATTCTGGTCAAGGGCATGTACCTTGGTTGCGGGCACATCCCCAGTAGGGGGTGTGCAGGAGGCAGCTGGTCGATGTTTCTCTCTCATCGATGTTTCTAGCTCTCTATCCCTCTCTCTTCCTCTCTGTAAAAAAAAAATCAATAAAGTATATTAAAAAAAAAAAAAACAACACCTAGTACCTTCCCTTCTTTTCACATTTCCCCACACCAGCGGGACCATGCCCCTGCCTTTATTTACATTTTCTTTCCCTCTGGGTACAGAAGTGAATGGATGGGACCATTTGAACCTCAATATCCATTCTGAATCTGAGACTTACTCCCACTTCGCTTGGCTCCCGGGTACCCGAGATGAGACAGACTTTCCAGACAGAGGGAAGAGCATAAAGAGGCTGGGGACACCAGGAGGCAGACAAAAAATAGTCCAACTAGCTTCTGTGTCTGGTCCTGTCATGCCTTCCCAAGCTCTTCAGTGGTCTCTTCTTACCTTTGTGTTTTCTCTCTACAGCACCAAAAAGTGTGATCAACCACATTATTGCAATTTGTATCTAGTTACTGAGGAAAACACTGTATTGATTTGTGTTTTTATTTATTTTAAATATATATTTTATTGATTTTTTTACAGAGAGGAAGGGAGACAGATAGAGAGAAACATCAATGAGAGAGAGACGTAGATCAGCTGCCTCCTGCACATCTCCTACTGGGAATGTGCCTACAACCAAGGTACATGCCCTTGACCGGAATCAAACCTGGGACCTTTCAGTCCGCAGGCTGATGCCTTCCCCACTGAGCCAAACCAGTCAGGGCTGATTTGTGTTTTTAGTTATAGCAATACCATTCACTCCCGGGAACCCTACTGCAACCTGTGTGTCATAACCAGCAAATACCGTAACAGAATGCTGCTAAAACTACAAGTGTTCTCGTCTGGAAAAACAGTCTTTGCTTCTTTCAGTAGGAGAGCTGGGTCTTTGGCGGTGATGGTTTGAATTCTGCAAACCACTCCTGTGGGCCTGGAGACTCGACAGGGACTCTTGATCAAGAGGGTCAGCCACTCGATCACTGTTTATCAGGTCCACCACAGGCCTGGTGCTGGGCTGGAGAGCCCGGGGCAACCAAAACTCCTCCCTCCGGAAGCTCATGGGGGCTGTGGTGTGAGGGACAGACATGTAAACAGGGAACAAGCACATGGCAAGAGCTAGACGAGAAGTATTTGCGGTGTGAAAGGGGGGCCCGGGTGCACAATGAGAAAGGTGGCCGTGAGGAACAGTATCTGAAGCTGGACCCAAACCACCTGAGACACCCGCGTAAGGAAAATCATGCCAGCCCCTGTGGGCGGGGGGCGGGGGCATCCTTCAGGAGGCTGTTGCAATAGTTCGGATCATGCTGGGACCTAACGCAGGGCAGGTGCTGTGGAGACGGGAGAAGAGGAACGTTCCTCTGTGGAGACACAGTTACCTGCGCCGGATTGTTAGAAAGGAGAGAGGGATGGTAGAAGGGGAAGTCAAGAGTAATTCCCAGGCTTGTGAGACTTGGGGACTAGGTGGCTAAGAGAGGTGGGGTACTAGAGGAAGCCTGGCACCTTGCCTGCCCCCTCGCAGGAGGCCCCTTCTTTCCTGTGGACAGTTGACATTTTCTAATTTAAAAAAATATATTTTTTTATTGATTTCAGAGAGTAAGGGAGAGGGAGAGAGAGAAAAACATCAATGATGAAAGAGAATCATTGATTGGCTGTCTCCTGCACGGGGATCAAGCCCAAAACCCCTGCATGTGCCCTTGACTGGAATTGAACGCGGGACCCCCTTGAGTCTGCAGGTTGATGCTCTATCCACTGAGCCAAACCAGCTAGAGTGACATTTTCTAAATTTTTTTTCTTCTTTTTCTAACATTTTCTAAATTTCTAAGCAAAAATGCATCTTTAGGACCCTCTTTCAATGAGATTATCTTGCCAAAGTCCCTCCTATAGGGTTTGGAATCTGGGTCATCATTGAGTGGTGTGTGTGTGTGTGTGTGTGTGTGTGAAAAATAAGGACCAGGATTATGATATAAGGACAAAGGAAAAAGTTGGATTTGGATGCAGAATTTTTTAAAGTTTGGAATTGTGAATGAGATCAAGTTGCAGACGTGGAGACACGCCTAAAGCTTGTTGTAGGACACCAGTCATTCAGTGAACAGTGAGCACTCAGTGTGTCTGATTGCTCCTTTTCCGTCAGGGGCACAGCCCACAGCGGGACAGAACCGGCCTCTGTCCTCAGAGGGGCAGAGACACAACCAGCAGGCCTCACTGTGGGCGGCGATACGTGCCCCGGAGAAAAACGGAGCAGGAAGAAAGGAATGGGGAGCCGGCAGGGTGGGGAGCTCAGGGCGTTCAGAAAAGCCTCTTTGAAAAGGCGGTATCTGCTCTGACTGGTGTGGCTCAGTGGATAGAGCATCAGCCTGTGGACTGAAGGGTCCCGACCCGGTTCGATTCCGGTCAAGGGCATGTACCTTGGTTGTGGGCACATCCCCAGCTGGAGGTGTGCAGGAGGTGGCTGATCGATGTTTCTAACTCTCTATAACTCCCTTCCTCTCTGAAAAAAAAAAAAAAGGAAGAAGGAAGAAAAAAAGGAAGGAAGAAAAGGTGCTATCTGAGCAGCGACCCAAAGCAGGGGGAGGTGGTGAAAAAGGAAGTTAGCACCCTAGCGGGGAGAGGAGCCACGCCCAGAGGGTTCCGTTTCCACCCGGGGCCGCGGGGAAGGCGGGCGGGTGTCCCAGCCTCGCGTGCAGAGGCGGAGACAGCGGCTGGGGAGGCGTCAGGCCGCTTTCCAGCTTCGAGGCCATTCACTCAGATCAGCGCTCGCGTGCCCGGTGCCGCGCTGGGGCTGCGACCTGCGATGATGACATCGGTCCGCGGACCGAGGCCGGACCACGTGGTCCACGTCCCGCTGGGCTCCGGCGCCTCCCGCGGGCGCCGGAGAGGGAACGGCTGCGGGGCGCGCCGCGGAGGACGGGCCGGGAGCCGGGGGCGGGGCGTGCGGCGCGCGTCACAATGAGCGCGCGGGGCGAGCGTCGGGCGCGGCGCGTGGCCGGAAGGACCCGCCCACAGAGGCCGGGAGGCGGGGCGGCGGCTCCAGCGCGGACGCGCGGCGCCCTCTGCAGGCTGCAGGCGGCGGCGCCCCGGTAGCCTCCCCTCTCCTCCCTCCGCCTGCCTCAGGCCGCATGTTGTTTGCGGTTCACCCCCCGATTCCCTCCACCTCGCCTCTCCACGCCTCCGACTTCCGCCCCGCCCCGGGCGTGTCCGTGTCTCCGCGGAAGAGTGCTAATAAAGTTTTCCTTCTTCTCGCTCTCAGGCTCCCGCCCCGCCCCAAGTCCCGCGAGATCACGTGGCGCGGCTACTGCCATGGCGGCGGCGTTTGAAGCCCCGGCGGCCTTGGCTCCCGAGGAGCCCGCTGCGCCCCCGGAGGCTGTGGCGGAGCATGCGGCGGAGCCCGTGGCCGCCCCGGCCGCGGCCCGGGAGCCCCTCCGCCGGCCGGCGCGGGGCCTGCGGACGGCGCACGACGTCAGCGGCCCGCGGACCCGCACGGGGGACGTGCTGCTGGCCGAGCCCGCCGACTTCGAGTCGCTGCTGCTGTCGCGGCCGGTGCTGGAGGGGCTGCGGGCGGCCGGCTTCGAGCGGCCCTCGCCCGTGCAGCTCAAGGCCATCCCTTTGGGGCGCTGCGGGCTCGGTGAGGGCGGGGACCCGGGGCGCTGCGGGCTCGGGGCGGGAGGGGAGGCCGGGGAGGCCGAGGGGGGGGGCCGTGGCGGCGGCGCGGTCCGGGGACAGCCAGGCCGGCCCTGCGCGGGGTCGGCGAGGATCGGCGCTGCCTCAGGCGATGGACTGCGGTGAAACGGGGTGCGGTGACCCGTGTAGAGCTGGTTAAGGCCCGCTGCGCGCCGACACGTGGTTCTGAGTCGGAGAGGATGAACGGGAGGGGTTCGGGCACGGCCTGCGCTCTGGTGCGTTCACTAAACGCATCTGGAGCCCCGTCCAGCTCCGGGGTTCATGGGCGGCCCCTGAGCACCCTCAGCCCGCATGCCTGGTGCTCATTCTGTCTTCCTTTGCAGATTTGATTGTCCAGGCGAAGTCTGGCACTGGGAAAACCTGCGTCTTCTCCACCATTGCGTTGGACTCGCTTGTTCTTGAAAACTTAAGCACCCAGGTGAGTTCACCCGGAGGAGGGAGCGTTTCGTGGATTTTACCCCAGGTCGGATGAAGTAAGTACCAGTAGCTCCTCAGGAATAGATGCGAACTGGAGGAAATGACTGAGCGAAGCCACGTGAAAAAGATAAAAGTGAGTGAGACCTTAGGGCTGTCAACAGAAGAATCATACCGACCTGTAAAGGAGTGTTTGTGGGTTTATTTGAGCCAAACGCCAGGAAGCAAGACATCAAGAGATGGAGGGAATGCCCCAGAGCAGTGGTCGTCAAACATATTAGTCATCAGAGTGGCAAACCGTGGCTCGGGAGCCGCAGTTTGCCGACCACTGCCCCAGAGAAGGGCAGTGTTGCACCTTATTTTATACATTACAATCGAAAGAGAAGCTGCAGGTGGGTTGCATGAAATTCACCGGTGCTAGATTAGGGAGGCGGGAGAAGGCAAAGCAGGGAAGCCGTTGGGATTGGATGAAAAGTACAGTGATGGACACACTTTTACAGGAGCGTTAACAGTCGCTAATATGATGGCAATAACAATGAGGATGTATGATCTCCCCCGTGGAGCATTGGTTGTGCCCTACTGGGTCTGGAAAAAGGAGTTACCTTGACATCCAAAGGAATCTTCTATGATAATAGAAGCTAATGAGGCGGGTGGGGGCCGAGCCCCTTGCATGAATTTCATGCATGGGGCCTCAGTGTTACAGATTCGAAAGACAATAGACAAGCTTAGGTAAGGTAAGGATTAACTTTTATCAGGGAAGATGCTAGCCTGGGACAGTGGTCGGCAAACTCACTAGTCCACAGAGCCAAATATCAACAGTACGATGATTGAAATTTCTTTGGAGAGCCAAATTTTTTAAACTTAAACTTTTTCTAACGCCACTTCTTCAACATAGACTCGCCCAGGCCGTGGCATTTTGTGGAAGAGCCACACTCAAGGTGCCAGAGAGCCGCATGTGGCTCGAGAGCCTCGGTTTGCCAACCACTGGTCTAGGACATGACTGCCTGCCATAAGCTGCGTTTAGGTTAAAGTCTTAATTTCACACCGTCCTTTGTGGTGACTTTAGGTCTCTGAGTTGGCAAGGCCACCACGCAGGCCTCTCCTGAGCCGTCAGGTCAGCTTGTGGCCCCTTCTGTCCACAGGTCATTGAGTGGTGGTCGTGTGGCTGGTGACCAAGGATGCATTATTAGTTTTAGAAGCTAGGAATTTCCCATTATTACTGCATTTTAAATAGAATGTCATGTATGTCAATTATGTCATTACTTGAGAATACAGATTGAGGTTATTTTTTGTTTGCTGATCAGATTGTGGTGAGATTTAGCATTCGGCCTGATGCATGGCAGTGTGTGCTCTGGCTTTTGCTGATAACTGCAGGTGGCTCGTACCCCTCCGTGAATGTATCACTGGTCTCCCATCTTCTAAGGCAGGGGTGGGGAACATTTTTTCTGCCAAGGGCCATTTGAATATTTATAACATCTTTCTGGGGCCATACAAACTTAACAACTTAAATAATTAGCCTGCTATATTTTATTAACTCACCCCTAATGCCTAGGCCCGAGGGCTGGACAATCCCCACCCCTGAGAATCTGTTGAAGTAGGTCTAAGGCAGTGATCGGCAAACTGGTTTGCTGCTCTGTTGACTAATGAATTTGCCAACCACTGGGAGAGGGGCTTAATCACAAGGAACAACAACAGCCTGTAATTATTGGAATCGAGAGTCTAGGTCAGTGGTCGGTAAATTCATTAGTCAACAGAGTGGCAAACCGTGGCTCTCGAGCCGCAGTTTGCTGACCACTGCCCTAGGAGATGTATCCATAAACATTGCTATGGGAGATGTCAGATTTTTCTGCCTGTACAAAAATATCTCCTAGGATTTTTATGGTTTCATGACTTATATTTTTTTTATTCTTGAGTTTATTCTTGAGTATGGTGAAAGTTGGTCTAGTTTCTACCCAGTTTTCCCAACATTTTTGTGTTGCTCCTATTCTTAAGGGAAACACGTTTAGTGTTTGCCCATTGAAGTTGGCTTTAGGTTTGTCATATATGACCTTTATTGTATTGAGGTATGATCCCTCTATTCCTACTTTACTGAGAGTTTTATCAAAAAAGGGTGCTGGGCTGAAACCGGTTTGGCTCAATGGAGAGAGCATCAGCCTGTGGACTGAAGGGTCCCGGGTTTGATTTCGGTCAAGGGCATATACAATGGTTTCGGCACATCCCCAGTAAGAGGGTGTGCAGGAGGCAGCTGGTCGATGTTTCCCTCATCGATATTTCTAGCTCTCTATCCCTCTCTCTTCCTCTCTGTAAAAAATCAATAATAATAAAAAAAAGGTGTTGGGTTTTATCAAATGCTTTTTCTGCATCTATTGATATGATCATGTGGTTTTTATCTTTCAGTTTGTTTATGTGTGTGTCACGTTCATTGATTTGCGAATGTTGTATCAGCCTTACATCCCTGGGGTAAATCCCACTTCGCCATGGTGTATGATCTTTTTAACATATTGCTGGATTCGATTTGCTAATATTTTGTTGAGGAATTTAGCATCTATATTCATCAGGGATATGGCTTGTAATTTTCTTTCTTTGTAGTACCTTTATCTGGTTTTGGAATTAGGATGGTGTTGGCTTCTTAAAAGAACTTGGAAGTGTTCCTTCTTCTTGAATTTTTTGGAATAGTTTGAGGAGGGTAGGTGTTAGTTCATCTTTGAGTGGTAAAATTCTCCTGTAAATGCATGGTCCAGGACCTTTGCTTGCTGGAAGTTTTTAAATTATTGCTTCAGTTTCATCAGTTGTTGTTGGCCAACTAAGGTTTTCTGATTCTTCCTGATTGAGTTTTGGAAGAGTGTATGGTGGGTTTTTTTGTTTTGTTTTTTTTGTTGTTGTCAATTCTCACCCAAGGATATTTTTCTATTAGTTTATAGACAGAGTGGAAGGGAGTGGGAGAAAAAGAGAGAAACATTGATGTGAGAGACTCTCATTGATTGGTTGTCTCTCATATGTCCTTGTAGGGGCTGGGGATCAAGCCTAAAACCAAGGGAGAGGGATAGAGAGTTAGGAACATCGATGAAAGAGAAACATCGACCAGCTGCCTCTTGCACGCCCCCTACTGGGGATGTGCCCGCAACCAAGGTACATGCCCTTGACCAGAATCGAACCTGGGACCCTTCAGTCCTAAGGCCAACACTCTATCCACTAAGCAAAACTGGCTAGGCTCCTTTCCTTCTTTTGTTGCTTCTTTCTCTTTTCCCCACTTTTATTTTTCTTCACAACACTTATTTCCTGCTATTATTTATGTACTAGTGCACAAATTTCATGCACTTGGGAGGAGGGGTCCTCTCAGCCTGGCCTGCACCCTCCTGAAATCTGGGAGCCGTCACCGCTGCGCTGTCAGCCCCGATTCTGACTGAGCAGTGCACCCCCTGTGGCAGCGCACTGACCACTCGGGGTAGCTCCTGCATTGAGCATCTTCTCCCTGGTGGTCAGTGCATGTCATAGCAACCAGTTGTTACACTGTTCATTCTATTTGTATATCACCCTTTTATTATATAGGATGTTTGTTTATTGTATATCTTCTTATCAGTGTGTGGGCTCAGTGGTTGAGTGTCTACCTATGCACTAGTTCTCAGTTCGATTCCTGGTTAGGGCACGTGCCTGGAAGTGCAGGAGGCAGCTGATCAATGACTCTCTTTCATCATTAATGTTTTTAAGCCACTCTCACTCCCTTCCTCTCTAAAATCAATAAAAATAAATGTTTTTTTCCTCAAATAAAATTTTTATAAAAAGAATGAAAGTGCCATTAGCAAGGATTTTGTACCGTTAAATGTTGACTTCCCAGCAATTTGCATGTTGCTTATTTAATACTAGAGGCCCAGCGCACAAAATTTGTGCATGGGTGTGGTCCCTTGGCCTGGCCAGCGATCGAAGCATGAGTGTCACATGTAAGGGCAGGTCCCAGCTGATCTCTGGGGCCTGGTCAGCATCCTGGGCCCTCATGCACCCTCTTCCGCCTGAATCATGGCGCCAAAGTCCCCACGTGGAGATGGCGGTGAGTGTGGCCAGATGCTGCAGTTAGGGTGCAGTGAGGGCCTCTGGGCTGCCCAGCGGCGCCACACAGAAGCCGGGCAGGCAGCACACTCTCTCCTGGCCGGCCTCGCAGACCAGCTCCTGTGCGAACCCACAGGGAGCCCTGTGGTCTCAGCGGCTGTGTCCCGGCTCACCGGATAAGGCCACATATGTGCGGGTTGGGCTCCTGGCACCTGAGTGCAGGGGCTTCCCCATTGCGTGAGCCCTGGTGTCCCAGGGGAGGGTAGCGGGGGGACTGAGAGTGAGCTTGGCAGACACCCTACATTCTCATCACACCTCCACCTGTTACCATCGCCCCCAGGTAGCCTGCGAGAGGTTGCAGCTCTCTGCTGGGGTGCTGCGGGAGGTTGGTTGCTGCCACCCACCCTCAGCTCTCCATTCCAGCCTGGGGCCTGGCCCCGATTGGGTGAACAGGGCCTGCAGGTCGCTGGTTTGCCATCTGTGGGGGTGATGAGTTTGGGCGATCAGGCTCCTGCTCGCAGCTGCCTTGGCCTGGCACTGCCCACTCACCTGCTCCACCATCTTGCACCAGTCCTGCTCTTGTTGTGGCAGGCAGCACCTCCACTGTTGCTCGCTGCCGGCACACGCTGCCCCCTGGTGGTTAGTGCATGTCATATCAAGCAGCCTAACTCCTGATTGAACAGTATGCATATTAGGCTTTTACTATATAGGATTTGCTTAATGAATAAACTGATAATTCAAAGGAAAATAGCTCATATATGTCATTCTCATGTACTTATTTGATTGACTCGCTAATGGTGTATTTTACATTTTCTTAGATTTTGATCTTGGCGCCTACAAGAGAAATTGCTGTACAGATACATTCCGTTATCACGGCCATTGGAGTAAAAATGGAAGGCTTGGAGTGTCATGTCTTTATTGGAGGGACTCCTTTACCTCAAGACAAAACCCGACTTAAAAAGTGTCATATTGCCGTTGGATCTCCTGGTAAGGTATCAATGCCTGTTTGTAACTGGAGCTTTTAGGAACTGAACATTTATTTAAAATACATGTTTTTATTGTTTTTTAGAGAGTGGAAGGGAGAGGGATAGAGAGATAGAAACATTGATGAGAGAATAGCATCATTGATGGGCTGCATCCTGCACAGCCCCTACTGGGGATGTGTCCTGACTAGGGATTGAACCAGTGACCTCTTGGTTCATGGTTCAGTGTTCAACCACTGAACAACATTGCCTGGGTTGGACACTTTTAATCTATATATATAAAAGCCTAAGTGACCGTCCAGCCAGTAGCTATGATGCATACTGACCACCGGGGGCAGACGCTCAATGCACAGGCATGGAAACATGGAACAGATTGATGTTCCTCAGAGGGAACGGGTGAGGAGGGAGGGTGGAAAGAGATTAACCAAAGATCTTTTTTTTTTTTTTTTTGTAATATATTTTATTGATTTTTTACACAGAGAGGAAGGGAGAGAGATAGAGAGCTAGAAACATCGACTAGCTGCCTCTTGCACATCCCCTACCGGGGGGATGTGCCTAAAACAAATGTACATGCCCTTGGCCGGAATTGAACCTGGGACCTTTCAGTCTGCAGACCGACGCTCTACCGCTGAGCCAAACCGGTTTCGACTAACCAAAGATCTTATACGCATACTAGAGAACCGCTGTGTGGATTTGTGCGCTGGTGGGGTCCCTCGGCCTGGCCTTCGGGGATTGGGTCTATACCAGCAGTCCAACATCCTCCAAGGTGCCCTGGATTGCGCGAGGATGTAGTCCGGGCCGAGGGACCCCACCAGTGCACGATCCATGCACCCGGCCTCTAGTATAACAATAATTAATATTGCACCCTAACTGGTTTGGCTCAGTAGATAGAGCATCGGCCTATGGACTGTCCTAGGTTCAATTCTGGTCAGGGGCACATGCTCAGGCTGTGGGCTCTATTCTCAATGGGATGCATGCAGGAGGTAGCTGATCAGTGATTCTCTCTTACCATTGATGCTTCTATCTCTCTCTCCTATCTGAAATCAACAAAAATATATTTAAAAATAAAACAGTAATATCGCAGTCTTTGATAATTGTGACAATTACACCAATGAAGTGGAGACACATAACTGGATTGCCAGCAGAACTGATGAACTCTCCATTCTTACGGCTGTTTGAGAACCATGGGGTAGGCGTCTGAGAAAAAGAGGCATGAGGTGACTTTCAGGAAGCCTCTTAAGCCATGCACTGGGTTATTTGCTTTAATCACTCAGTCATGGATCACTCAGAGTCTAGCATTCAGTCCCTCAGCCATTCAAGTTTTTGATAGGAATAGTGTATTTTCCATACTTACTGCTAATGAAATGTGAGGGGGGAAGTGGAGTTCGGCAAGATCAGAACGCAGAATTTCAATTTGTGGTTTAATGTATGAATGAAGATTGCGCCAGGAGAGACAGCAATACAGCCTCTAAGTAGAGTGGCGTTGGCTGAGACTTGCACAAGTTTGTTTCATCATAAATATTTCTTTTTTTTTTTTAATTTAGGCAGAATTAAACAACTGATAGAGCTTGACTACTTGAACCCAGGCAGTGTACGTCTCTTCATTCTGGATGAAGCGGATAAGCTTTTAGAAGAAGGCAGCTTCCAGGAGCAAATAAAGTAAGACATACACTAACTTGACTATTAAAATGCTGCCCCAATGGGTCTGCCTGTAGCTTTTCCAGGCGGCGATTACTGCCTGAATTGTCTCTAAGGCCTGTGTTCTTCTGTTTTGCAGTTGGATTTATTCTTCCTTGCCTGCCAGTAAACAGATGGTGGCAGTATCGGCTACTTACCCAGAATTTTTGGCTAATGCTTTGGCAAAGTACATGAGAGACCCCACTTTTGTAAGGCTCAATTCCAGCGACCCAAGTCTCCTAGGTATGTGTAGACATCGGACACTTGCATTGCTGGTGTGTGGCGCCCTGGAGTTTTCCTTTGTGCCTCGTTGCCTATTGCTTTTCTATTTGCTCTTATGGGATTGCAGCTTCGGTGTTTTAACAGACGCTCTTGGCTTCTTCATAGGTTTGAAGCAGTATTACAAGGTCGTCAATTTGTACCCGATGGCCCATAAGATCTTTGAAGAAAAGGCTCAGCATTTACAGGAACTGTTCAGCAGAATTCCTTTTAATCAAGCCTTAGTCTTTTCTAATTTACACAGCAGGTACTTACCTTAAAAGGTCATCTGGGGGCAATAAGAGAATGGGCGTGGGCGGCGTCTGTAAATGATCACTGTTATTTCTCATAGAGCACAGCATCTGGCTGATATCCTTTCATCTAAAGGCTTTCCTGCAGAGTGCATTTCAGGTGAGCTCATCTTCAGTCCTTGTTGGTACCTGACTCTCAGGTCACGAGGCGGAAACACCACTTCATGAGTTGTCTTGTGAATGTGAGGCTGCGCTGAGTCTTCAGGTTCATTTTTCATTGGGATTTTTAAAATACGTATTTTTACTGATTTCAGAGAAGAAGGGAGAGGGAGAGATAGAAACATATCAGTATATTCTTTTAAGAAGTAATTTGGTATATAATAAGAAAATTAGGAAACTGGATTTATATTCACACAAAGTTTGTTTTTGTCATCTTTTTTTTTTTTTTAATATATTTTATTGATTTTTCACAAAGAGGAATTGAGAGGGACAGAGAGTTAGAAACATCGATGAGAGAGAATCATCGATCAGCTGCCTCTTGCACACCCCCTACTGGAGATGTGCCCGCAACCAAGGTACATGCCCTTGACTGGAATCAAACCCGGGACCTTTCAGTCCACAGGCCGACGCTCTATCCACTGAGCCAAACCGGTCCTGGCTGTTTTTGTCATCTTAAGAGGAAATATTTTGCTTCTTGACAATCATTGTTAAAATGGTAAGAATTGCCAACTGAACTGACTGTTTCATGGTAGGCAAAAGTGATTCATTTTGACACAAAGCTAAATTATTACTGCTGGTTTAGTAGGAATAAAAGCTTTCAAGGAATGTTTGATCAGTGAGAGCCATTTTAGAAGGCTAATTTTTTAAAGATATATTTTTATTGATTTTAGAGAGGAAGGGAGAGGGGGAGAGAGAGAAAAAAAAATCAGTGATGAGAGAGAATCATGGATTGGCTGTCTCCTGCCCACCCCCTACTGGGGATCGAGCCCGCAACCTCGGCCAGAATCGAAACTGGGACCGTTAGTCTGCAGGCCTACACTACTGAGCCAAACCGGCCAGGCCTAGAGTTTTAATTTTAATTTCAATTTTTATTGATTTCAGAGACGGGGAGAGAGAAACATCAATGATGAGCACAAATCTTTCATCAGCTGCCTCTTGCTGGGGACGGAGCATGACCTCCTGGTTCATAGATTGATTCTCAACCACTGAACCATCCCCACCAGGCCTTTTTAGAGGGTTGATTGGTATCTCAGCTTAGCCTTTACCCTGTTAGGTTGTTTAGTCCTGTTATATCATGTGATACTGGGGAGACTATTTTCTGATGGACTAATATTTTGAGTATAGATCACACTTCAATACCAAATTTATAAATAGCCAATAAAAGCAATTTTATTTTTCTAAGAATTGTTATACTTCACATGTGACTTTGCAGATATAATATTGTATATGCAGGCATAACTTAATCACCATTTAAAATTGACATTTAAAATTGACATTTAAAATTTCTGGTGAATTGCCTAATCATATTTTAGAAGATTCTGATTGTAAATCTTAATCTGGGTTTGCATATAAGGACAACATTAGCTTTGCTTGGTATATTTTTAAATTGTTAAGACTGGGAGTTACGATTCCTGCTTTCTGTGGATTTGATAATTGTGTGCTTGGGTCTTTTTAGGCAACATGAATCAGAATCAGCGTCTCGATGCTATGGCTAAACTGAAGCAGTTTCATTGCAGAGTCCTCATCTCCACAGATTTGGTAGATATCCTCTCAGTTTGGGTGACTAATCCCCTTGTATGTTCTATTGTCATACGTACAGATTTCATCTGTCATTTTATGTAGGTGCATCTGACGAGCATTCCAGAAGATGGTTCTCTTTGCAGTGCTAGGGATTTGCTTTCTTAATAATAATTTGCATTTTCATCTTTGTTCTTGAAATTAGTCACAGAAATGAATTTCCTTTTTTTTTTTTTTTTCTCCTTCCTCCTAAATATCTTCCTGTTCTTAATTTGGCTCCTGGTTAGACTAGAATAAGGTGGTGTACATTGGTACCCATGCTACAGGTAATGAGGCAAACAGTTCTCTTTCTGATTCAGACTTCCCGTGGGATTGATGCTGAGAAGGTGAATCTGGTTGTGAATCTGGACGTGCCAGTGGACTGGGAGACATACATGCATCGGATTGGCAGGGCTGGCCGTTTTGGTAAATAGAAAAGTTGGGTGCTTGTTTAAGGGGGAAATCTGGAATGTGACAGTGGACTTGGCGTGCCATTTAGGTGAAAATGATTTACTACTTAACTGTCCCTCTGTGCTGTAGGTACGTTGGGATTGGCAGTGACCTACTGTTGCCGGGGAGAAGAAGAAAATACGATGATGAAAATTGCCCAGAAATGTAATATCAACCTTCTGCCTTTACCAGGTATATTTTGTCAGTTTCATTTTACTATCAAAATAATAGTGGTAATGATGAGAGGCCTAATAAAAATAACCGCTAACAGAATACTTATGTCATCTCAGGCATTGCTCCAAGTACTAGACATGTGCTAACTCGTTTAATTCTCACCACCGTCCTGGGAGGTGTGTGCTGTTCCTGTGTGTGTTTTGTAGATGTGGATACGGAGGGGTAGAGAGGTTAGGTACTTTGCCTAAGGTCTTTCAGCTATTGAACAGCAGGGAGAAGATCGCAAGCTAACCATTGGCATGTGAAAAATGTCTTAACTACATATTAGTTTGTAGCCTTGTAATTTGATTTCACTATTTTATAAAAGGGGAATATTTTACCTCATGTCGCTGTGAAGGCAATTCTTACCATAATTCTCTTTTGTCACCATGGGGAAGGAATAGCATCTTTTAAACTCTGTTTTGAAATTTTTGAAATGTTTTCTTTTGATTTTAATGAATCATTTCTCAAACTGCTCTTTTTAAGTGGCATCTTAGAAAGTGTGTGTCTGAAATTTATTAATGACCTCTTGAAAACAAAAGCCCTAAAAACTCTTATGTGGAAATTTGGCTCATTTGCTATGTTAGGTTATGCTTGTTAGTGTATAAATTGGTCTACATATGTGTATATATACACACTCATAAACTGTATACTTGTATGTCCTTATGTATAAAATTAAAGGTCCAGTGCACAGATTCGTGCATGAATTTGTGCACGGGTGGGGTTCCGGCCAGCCAGCCCTGATGGGGGCCTATTGGGCTGGGCCAGCTGCGGAAGGGACTGCAGGTGGTTGGCTGAGTGACTCAGCCCCTGATGGAGGTGTTGGGAGCCCATCAGGAGTGGGGCCAACTGGGGAAAGGGGCTGTGGGAGGGCTCCAGGGCGTGTCCGGCCACCTTGCTCAGTCCCAATTGGCCAGATCCCAGCAGTAAGCTAACCTACTAGTCAGAGCGTCTGTCCTCTGGGTGGCCAGTGCATGTCATAGTGAGCGGTTGAGCGGCCTTAGCATATCATGCTTTTGTTGGTCGAAAGGATGACTGGACACTTAGCATATTAGGCTTTTAGTATGAAACCATTCAGAAAATGCTGGTTTAGAGCAGCTGGAGAATGTTAATATGTTACTTCTTTTTTGTAGATCCCATTCCTCCTGGTCTGATGGAAGAATGTTTGGATTGGGATGTGGAGGTTAAAGCTGCTGTGCATACAAATGGTTTAGCAAACGTGCCTAGCCAGCCCCTGAGAAAGCAAATGCAGAAAATAGAGAGAACCTCCCAAACTCAGAAGGCTCACGGTAACCACATGGCTTCTTGTAGAAACACTTCCGTATCTACACTGTCAGTCAGATCCAAAAACACCGCCAAACAGAAGCTTCCTGTGAAAAGCCACTCGGAGTGTGGAATCCTTGAAAAAGCGGAATCCCCGAAAGCATCGGGCCGGGCCCTGCCGCTGGAGGAGCAGGAGCAGCATTCTGCCGAGAGCCCTGCCGACGGCGCCAGCAGCCAGCCCCCCGCCAGAGAGGACGCCCCTGCGTCACTCCCCCAGATCCCGTGTCTGTCTGCCTTTAAGACCCACCCACCGTGTGCGCTGACGTTCGCGGAATTGTTGGAGGATTACGAACACTACCTTAAGGAGGGGCTGGAGAAGCCTGTGGAGATCATCAGGCACTACACGGGCCCTGGGGATCCGGCTGGGAGCCCCCACAATGGCTTTGTGAGGAGCGGAATTGCTGAAGAGAGAGCGCGGGCGTTGGCAAGCAGTAGTCAGTCTGGAGACTCCGAGAGCGACAGCGGCTCTTACAGCTCAAGGACTTCTTCCCAGAGCAAAGGAAATAAGTCCTTCGTGGAAGGCTCTTCCGACATTCCGCTGAGAGACACGGCGTCGACGCCTGCGGCTGACCACCCGTATTCGGAACCACCTCTGGATGGAAGTGACACCCCGAGTCTGGGAGAGTGTCGGGAGTCACCGGAGGCCCAGGCCACGGCGAGGCAGAAAGGGGGGGCTGGCCCGAGGGCTAAGCAGAGCCGCAGGAGTCCTCGGCGCTCCTCCCACCGGCCGCAGGCAGAGCCCCAGGAAGACGAGTGGTCTGGCCGCCAGAGGGACGCCCAGGCCGGTTTTCCTGGGACCTATCAGGACTACGAGGAGTCCTGGAGAGCTTACTACAGGGCCTGGCACGAGTACTACTCTGCTGCTGCTCAGTCCTATTACTGGAATGCTCAGCGGCACCCAGGGTGGATGGCGGCCTATCACATGAATACCATTTACCTGCAGGAAATGATGCGCGGCAGCCAGTGATGGCCACACCTTAAACCGCCCGAAGCAACAGCCAGCGAGACCTCGGAACAGCCGTCCTCTGTGACCCAGAGCAGAGTGGCCTCGGAGTGGCACTTTTGAGGAGCTTGGCAAGTCTTAGAGGCTTTCTGCTGGGATGCCTTTATTTTCAGATTGTTTGACCTACTGGGCATATTAAGAAACTTCATGGGCCAAAGAGCTAAAAGGTCCCAGGGTGCCATTTTCTACAAACCATTCCAAAAAAAACCATTTGAAACGACCGCTCTATCACTGCTTACTTAAATAAAAACAGTTGAGGTTTGAAAACGGTTGGTTTATGCTGCGGAGTTCTTTACAAAAGTCGGGCTGCGCTTCCGTAGAGGTATGTACGTTCCTGTGGAAATGTCCAGGTGGACGGTCAGGTGCTCCCCTTTCTTTTAGGCTTAGGAAGGAGGACACGTTGCTTCCGACTTTCCCAGTGGTACTTGGTTTGATGCTCTTTGCTTCCAGTAAACTTACTTGTTTTAAACTTATTTTACTTGACAGTAAAATACAGACTTAGCCGACTGTGTTGACATCTTGTTCATCTGTTGAATATCTTGTTTCTAAGATTCTGAGCGTGGTCCACTTCGTCACCCTGCACTCCACAGCTGAGCAGTCAGCGAGGTCTCCATTCTGTTTCACAGGAAGAGGAGCAGCTTTTCATCTTGGTTAGTTTTTGGATCTTTTTATGTATCTGATGAGAGCTATGTCCCAGAAAAGTCTCATCTGTAAACCAGAATTGGATGTGTAATCCCACGGGGTCCCAGGACCCTCTGAGCCCGTAAGGAGCCGAGGTGAAGAGCAGCCCCTGCTGCTGGTGGCTGTGGGAGGGTCCTCGCTCTTCGTGTGAAGTGTTGGGTGGTGTTGGGTGGAAGCTGGAGCTCCGTGTGTCTTGTCTTGTGTGTTCTAGAGCTTCCCTCCAGTTCTTACCTAGTACTAGGGTCTAAGGGAAGGCATTTGTCTGTGATAGACACCTATAAATTATGATTTAGAAAAATGTAATTGGAACTTATTCATTCATTTCTTCTCTATGGCAGTCCTTCCAGGTAACACATTTGGCTCCCAGGCCTTTTCTGTGAGCTGTGTTTGGTGAGAGAATCCCTTTTGGGTAGCGATATGTATTTGGTTTTGAAAAGGAAAGCTCTCTGCTCCTGTGTACATACGTGGCTAGGCGGCATAATCATTTTCCCTCAGGGCAGTGAGCACACATCCGAGGCCATTGTCATTGCCGTCCCGCACTCACATAGCACTGTCCCAAAGTTCTGTTTAACGTGGATTCCTGTCGCTTGGGGTGGCCAGTGGGTGGGTTTGCTTAGAGGTGCCAGTATCGCCAAATTAGAGTGAACGAATTAACACTAAGTAGTAAATCCATAATGAGGACCAGTATGTCAGGGGAGACAAATTGCTCATTTAAATAAAAGCCTGTCCATTGCTATATAATTGAACGTACCTCTCTCTATCCTTTGCCCCTCAGTGTAGCCAAGTGCGCAGTTTGTCATTGCTGGGTGATTTTAAGTAGGGCACTGCTGCCTCTTAATTAGAAATGAGGTTACCCATTAGTCTCAGAATTAATTGGATTCTCTTTTAAGGTTTGTCATATTTTGTGTTTGTCTTTTTTTTTTTAAATAAAAAACTAGAGGCCCAGTGCATGAATTTTGGGGGCCATCCCTCAGCCCCGCCCATGCCTTCTTGCAGCCCGGGAGCCCTCGGGGTATGTCCATCAGTTGGACATCCTTAACGCTGCCCTGGATGTGGGGGAGGCTCCCACCACTGCTGCTGCGTTTGCCAGCTGGGAGCCAGGCTGCAGGACCGCACTGACCACCAGGGGGCAGCTCCTGCATTGAGCATCTCTCCCCCTGGTGGTCAGTGCACATCATAGTGACCAATGGTTCCACTATTTGGACAATTTGTGTATTAGCCTTTTATTATATAGGATAACCTGGAGGTGAGCATATGCATAACGTGAAAATTTTACTAATTGTTTAATTTTCCATTGGGTTTGCTGGCATATACCAGTCTAGGTGTATGTCCTATTACTAGTAAGAGAAAATACTTTCTGGCTAGGGAAAAGAATTATTTTGTGACTTGATAAATGCAGGTAATTTGGGCTTAATCTAACTTATGTTAGGCTGATGCTGGTAACGTAGAGAAGTCTTTGGGAAACCTGCGTTGGATAATTCTGACTTAGAAATAGACTATAAATTATGATTTGGGGGGTAATTTAAAAGCAATATTATCTGAAGTAGTTTAAGCAGTAAAATTTACTAATCTTTTAAAAACACGTGGTTTAAAGGTAAGCGTCAGCCTTCAAACACTGAAGATAATTAAAGAGGAGTTAGGGTACTTGTGGATCAACTTGTATGAGAAAAGGGAGTAGTTTGAAGTTTTAGGGTTTTTTCTCCCCCCTAAATGATTAAAGAAACCTGTTAATCTTAAAAAATAAAATTATATTTGTGATATACAATTTTATAATGTCACGGCTGATACTGGAAGTCCATCACAAGGTGATTCTCTTTTTTAAAAGTATTTATTTATTTATTTATTTATTTATTTATTTATTTTAAAGAAAGGAAGGTAGAGGGAGAGTCCGAGAAACATGAATTGGTTGTCGCCTGCACACCCCCTATTGGGGATTGAACCTACAACTTGGGCATGTGCCTTGACTGGGAATTGAACCTGCGACCTTTTGGTGCCAGGTTAATGCTCCAACCAACTGAGCCACACAATCTAGGGCACAGGTGATTCTCTTGTCTTAGCAAAGTGCTATTTGGTGTCTCTGAACAAGTGTGTGTGTCCCGTTAACACTGCTTTTTAATGAAAAGAGCACATGTTGCTCAAAGTCCGTCTGGTTTCCAGTTACTTTTTCTACAGATCATTTGAGCTATGGGTCTGTAGTGACACCTAGTGGGCGATAAGGATATGAGCATCTGTGATTGAAATGAATTTCATAGTCAACTTCCAGGGCCTTTCGGCATCATGCATTTGCCCTAACGTCCCTTTTCCATTACAGTTTTCTTTGATTGGGATTTGGTTGTTGAGGGAAAATTAAAAGGGTTCCCATAGTTGTTGCCACGACCTGGTGACATGAAAATGCCTGTTGCTCTCATTACCTGAATCAGAATTAAGGTTACAACAGATCTCAAGATATCTCATCCAAGTCCCCAGGTTCAAGACAAAGCAGACTGAGGCCAAGAGAAAAGTGCCCACATGGAGTCATTAAGTAAGTGATGGAACCTAAATCGAGCTCTATTACCTGGTTCCCAAGCTCTTTGCTGTGCTCTAGACAGCCCTGACGTTTGAGCTTTTTAGTTTGAGACCTTCGCTTAGATAGGTAGATCAGGGGCGGGGAATCTTTTTTTCTGCTGAGGGTCATTTGGATATTTATAACATCATTCGAGGACCATACAAAATTATCTACATAAAAATTAGCCTGCTCTGTGTGGTTAAACATTTAATTAACTCACCCCTAATGCCTTGTCAGGACCAGACCCAATGATTTCACGGGCCTTATACGGTCCCCAGGCCAGATGTTCCCCACCCCTGCCTTAGAGGAAGGAGTACACAGTCAGTGTATTCTTTGAACCAGTAAAGCTTTCAGTAATACGGGGCTGGGCCTCAAAGCAGAGCTATTGACAAATGCAATCAAACGCTTTTCCCGCTGGTGAACATCCATGACGAAAGATGCATGCAGGTGGGAACTGCCATGGATGTCGGAGGAGGTGTTCGCGTGGAGGGAGGGAAGGAGGGAGGGAGAGTGGGGACGGGAGATTGGACTAGGCTTTTAAGCACCTTTCTCAGATTCTGTGACTTAAAATTGTTTCCCCCTAATGACAGTTGTCAGACAATATTGTTGCAGTTTCATGTGCTGTGACTTTTCTCTAGCAAGGTTGGAAGCATCCCTTTGTTTAGATTACCCTTTTTGCTAGTGGCTAGCAGGAGAACTGGTATTGAAAGAAATAATCGTTTTAGGGTTTGTGGCACATAGTTTAATCCAGATCGGATACATCCGGTACAGCAGTGGCACGTGACTCGGTACTGGAAATGATACACGTTGTAACATATGCATTACAGTTTCAAAAGACGACAGGAAACTCAGTTTTTTTTTCTTTTTTTTTCCCATAGAAAGTTTTCACATGTTTATCTTCCTGCAGTTTTGTACAGTAGTTCTTCTTTGCCATTGTGATGTCGGTAAGCAAAGCCCATTTATTATACGAAAATAGAAAAAAACACACACTTGATACTTTTCACGGTAACATTAATTGGGGGGGAGTGACCTCTAAGGAAAACATTGCGTTGGAATGTCTGGTTATCAAAAATATACCATCCCTCCCGCCTCCCAGTTTGTAAAATAGTCTGTTGGTCCAAGGAGCCCCCGGGACTGGAGTCAGTGCCCTACCCTGGTTGGAGTGACATCATCTAGTGTAGTTAAGTAACCTGCCAGGACAAATGTCATCCCACACTGGATGAGAAGAACATAGAACATTCTAAATAGAAAACAAGACTGAAAAGGAGCCCCGTTAGCGGTTTCTTTGCTGATAACCACTTCCTGATCGCTCTAACGATGCTCTTCATGGTGCTATTTGGGCTCCAAGGATCACAACAATTTCAAATCCTTCATCCAGTCGTTTTAAAGCTTCACAATCGATGCCGCGTAAGGAAATCAGAAAGGGAAAAGAAAAGCCTTCCAGGTTTCCGTTATGGTTACCATGCCAACTAGTTCAGAAGAGAGACTCATATAGCCTTAGTAATCTTAAGATCCCAGTACTGAGTTTTCTGCCTTGCAGTTAGTTACCTGGTGGTTGAAGTAAGGGTGTCTGGAGCACTGGAATTCGTTTGTAACCCCAAGATCTAAGTTTAGCTCAATTTCAGTGATTACCTGTGCAGGTTTTTTTGTTTTTGTTTTTTTAAAAAGGAACAAAATCCAGGTACATGTTTCAATGGACCTTTTCCCTGCCTGTATTCTAGTAAGTGACCTGATCCTGAACTGTGGGAATCTTAGTTTGAAACTGGGTAAAGTCCTCGGCATGTCCACGAGTTGACTCTGTTTATATAGGTGAGCACAAACTGTCCACTTGAATTTCTGTTCAGATTCTTTTTCTTAATTTCACTTTCTACTTGCTGGTCTTAGACTCCTGTGTGATTGCAGACAGTTGTGTCAACTGCTATTGAGCATGTCTGGCCTTGTGAACAGATTCTATGCAGTTAGTCCTGAGCTCAACATTAGTTATGAAAATACGGGACGAAGGAGGATTCGTCCAGAGTTTGGTTGGGGGATCCTGGCTCAGAGTGGTTCTGAATGGAGTGTCTGCTCACGTGTAATCACCACCCTTGACATCCAGGTGCTAAAAATACAAGCAAGCCTCTGAGTTGTGCAACGTGACGTGGAGGACAAAGCCCTGGCTTCCATCACAGTTGTGCCGTGTGAACTTGCAGAAGTCACTCAGCTTCTTCCTGCCAGTTAAGGACCCAGTGCCTGCCCTACTGCACCGGAGGTCTAGGAAGGATCAGAGGATCCCGCAGGTAGGCTTTGGAACGTCCGAGCCCGCTCTTCCCTGAGAAGAGAGCATTTGTCCAACACCTGGCTGTTCACTTGTGCACCTTGTCCTCAGAGTTGGCTGTCCAGGGCGTGGTGGTGTCCAGGGGTGGCTTGGGGTAGCAGAGTCCGGTGCTTTCTGAGGGCCGTGTCCATGTAGTGCTGACATCTGCATAAGATCAGGCCTGTAGGTACAGCATTATTTCCCGATGGCTCTTCTCCAAGGCAGCCTGCCCTGCGAGGCGTGGGGAAAAGCACTGGACTGACAGTTGGGGGACCTGTGCTCTGGTCCCAGCTCTGACATGAAATGACTGCATGACCTGGAGCAAGTCACTCAGTTCCTCTGGGCTTCAGCTCTCTCTGACCGACAGAAGTCTTTACCCTCCTAGTTCTGATGCACTCCTAATATTTATCTCCTAAGTTTCCACCATCTGAAGGTGGCCCATTCGTTGGTTTCTTTTTAACCCTCTCTAAGGCTGAGTGGGGCAGGTGGTTCGGGGGACCTTCGAGTATGCTGCAGGGCTGATGAGTGATGAAAGCTCAAGGTCCTGGCACCAGAAGGCTGTTGCGCGGGCGACCCTGGCATCTGGTTCTCCGGTCACTGGCCTCGCTTCCGTCCAGACGCAGCAGCGCGGTCCGGCTGCTCTCTTGTGAGAGCAGGTGAGCCACTTTCTGGTTGGTAGGCACCGTCTTTTGGACCGGAGGCCAGAGGAACATACCCTGGCTCAGGCCACCCAGGGAGGCGGGGGCCAATGGTCTCCTAGGAACTGGCCGAGTGTGGGGTTTGAAACTGAAACTGGAGGAATACAAACATTTAGTTCATTAAGGTCTAAAAATGGGAAACGATTTGGGATATGATCATTAAAATTGGCTTGTTTTTGTGGGACCCACTGTGTGCTCCTCTGATGCAGGATGGCACATCCTGGGTTGGGTGGGTCATTGCTCTGACCCCGTGAGGACTTTCTCAAACACAGGCAGCGTGGATGTGTGAGCAGCAGCGTTCTTATTTGCATCTTGATCCCGTATCCCACTCAGCTCCTAGGATGTAAACTTGGATATCTCCATATTCCTGCTTCTGTCCCATTGTCCATTCTTTCAAAAGAAAACGTCCTTTCCTGTCCTTTGCCTGCTCTCTGAACGAGTCCGGCCAGTCCTCTGCCTGCCCTGATGTGTCTGGACCACTGGAATTCCTTTGTAACCCCGAGCTCACAGAAGTGATGGGATTTGGGTACCTGTTCTCAGGGGTGTTATGGCTGGGTGTGTACATGAATTCCCATCGTAAAGCTTTTCTGCCTGCCTGCACCGTCAGCTGAGGGCAGACCACTCATTCTCATGAGAGGGGAGATCCCTGGGGCCAGAGAAGGGGCTCGGTCAGTGGTGGACGAGGTTCGCACAGGAGATAAAGGTGCAAGGCTCCCTCTCTGCCGCCTTCGAGGCAGGGGCCAGCTCCCACCCTTCGACTTCCCTGCTGCTCAGGCCACTAACACAGGGTCCTGGGTTGCAGGGAAGTCCCCCAAGGTGTTCTCAGGCTCCGGGCTGGTGAAACGCACCTGGACAGCCGTGGCGGGCAGGCAGGTCCTGCCTCGTTACACAGCCAGCCCCTCAGCTGGAGTGGCCACGGAGCTCCTGAGAGCTGTCTCCGAGCGCGGGCTAGAGGGTCGCAGTGGGGCTGCCGGGGGGCGGGGTCTGCCATGAGCAGTGGGAATGGAGAGAACTGCAGAGCCACTAGGACAGAAACATGCCCAGGTTCCCAGGAGTAATCTTCACTCCCTCATGTGCACGGGGTCTCCAGGGACATCAGGCCTGAAGACTTCAGAGCTCAGGACACGTTTCAGACCAGGTAAGGATCATTCAAGTCTCCTGCTTTCACACGTTGGTGCAGCCTGTGTGGTCCTGCACCGCTGCCCTCTGCAGGGAAGTGAGCTCGGGGCCTCTGGGCATAGCTCCGGGTGGGCTTGGTGGCGGGAGCCATAGGTGGCGGCGAGCCCTGGCTCCTGTCCTCTCCACTGGTACACGTCACATGCCACACACCATACGCCAGTTCCATTTTCCAGATCCCAGAGTGATTGATCCCGTCAGTCTCCTCCTAAGCCGGACATGGAGACTGAACACCGGGTTCCAGCGGCCAGGGAAGTGCTGGGTTCTCACGGGACGTCCCTCCTTCCTCGCCCCAGCTGCAGGGGAGGCTTCCCTGCAGGGTCTTGGGGCCACTGGGGTCCATGGAGAGACAGACGCTGGACAATGGACAAACAGCCAGGGGTGAAGCAGAGATGGAGACGGGGGACGGACAGACCGAGGGGACATGTCGCTGTGTGGTCGTGGCAGCTCTGCAGGTCAGCAGGGCAATGGGGGCCAGGCTCAGCTGACCTCATCCCCCGGGGGGATGGAGAGAACTCTGCAGTAACTGGCTGCTTAGCCTAAAAGCTTTTGCTATAAAAGGAGGAAAAAACACACACAAAAAAACCAAACCTCACAAAATGCGTTGTTTTGGTTTAAAGGTACTGGGTCCATGGAGAAAAACGGTGCACAAAAATCCGTTGGTGTTTTTGTTTTCACCTTTTCCCCTGAATAAATATTATCCATTAAGAGCCTTGAAAAGGTGCTTAGATACACAGTGTTATATTCCTTCCTGTTTTGCATGTGTCAGGGGGGCCTCCGTGCTGCTCTCGGTGTCGGTTTTCCTCACTGGGGTCTCCAGAAGCCACTGTCTGGTCTGAGGCTCCCCCTCTGGCCCCTGTCCCGGCATGCAGCAGCCTCTGCCCTCGCCTCCCATCCCCAGCCTCCTCCCTTCCTTCGGCCCCTGGGAGGCAGGGCCACAGGGCTGTGTCCGCCCACTGAGCCTTGGGCCCTCCCCCCTGCTGCTCTTGTTCCTTCCAGGCACGAGTTTGGGTGCTGGGGAGGGGGCGTTGGGGCAGGGAGAAGGGGTCGGGTGGTCCAGTGGCCATCCACCAACATGCCAGCCGCTTCACTCCCGCTCCCCACACTGGCCTGCGTCCAGCGGGTTTACAAGGCAGAGACCTTGACGACGTTGCTGGCTATGGCAGGAATGTTCGTGTTGGGGCCGGGGCTGGTGGGGGGTGGCCGGCTCTCCCCCTCGGGGGTTAGTGCTGGGGGGGTGGGGATGCTGATGATGGCTGTGGTGATCTGGGATGTTTTGCAGTTTGGTCTCAGTCCGTCGTCTGCTTTCAGGTTAAGGCTGGAGCGACTGTGATTGAAAATAAGAGAGTGAGTTGAGGAGGGTGCCTCTTGCTAGTGTACCAGCCCCCTCCCCCTCCCCATCTCTAGCTCATGGAAACCAGGAGGAACCTTCTCTCTGTCTCCGAGTTGGGGCGTCAGCCATAATTATTCATCATTGTTCTGCCTAAACCACCAGCAGCTGCAAAAGTCCTGGATATGGGGCTTTGGACTCAAAGGAGAGGTCTTCCCTCTGGTGGGTGTTTGCCTGTCATTTGTGGCTTTCTACTGCTTTCCCGGAGCCTTGGCAGTCCACCGGAGGGGGGGGGGGGGACCAGATACATGCGGAGAAGGGGGAAAGGCTGTTTGAGATTCACAATCGGCCTGGGCTGAGCCGGGTGGACACAATTGTGAACATTATTTCCTTGATCCATTCTTTGCACTGGGATAGGTCATCTGTGGGTTTTGGGGAGGAGTTTTGTTTTTTCCTGGTATCTACCCATACGTTGGGCCTAAGCCTGCTGCTGTCCCCCCCAAGAGCCTTGGGTTAACTGTGAGGCCCGCTGCCTGGCTCTGGGAGCGTGGGCCCACCTGGTGGTGAGCGAGGGCTGCTCGCTGCCCTGGATGTGGATGGTGCTGAGCTCTTGCATGCTGCGCAGGCGGGTGGCCGGCAGATTGGAGTTGGGCAGGTGCGTGGTCTTCTTGCTGCGGCGGGAGCAGCAGGTGGTGGTGAGGCCCTGGTGGCTGGACAGCGAGGGGCTCCTGGTGGGCGGGTAGTTCTGCATCGAGCTCTCCATGCAGTTCTGCTCGTACATCTGCTCGTCGATGAACTCGTGGTTCTGTGGGGAGCGGGAGGAGGAGGTGAGGCCCCGGACTTGGGGTGGCTGCCTGCCTCTGCTCCGGGCTGGAGAGGACTCCCCGCCTCCCGGGGCACAGACAGGCAGCAGAGGAAGGCGGACAGGTCTGTGGGCGCCCTGGGGCAGGCTGAGGGTGGGCAGGGTGGCTAAGTCATGGTGAGGTGAGCTCGCCATCCGCAGCTTGGCGCCGAGGGTACAGGACACGGAGGGGTTTAGTGGCATCGTCGGAGCTGGAAACAGACGGGACTTGTCTGCAGGCTCCGCACAGGACCCGGTGGCAGGGAAGGGGGCGCTGCTGGGGGGGGGGGAGGGCGCCAGTTGTCTTTTCTGGACTGAATGGGGAGAGCCTCAGGAATCGGGGGGCATGGACGAAGCTGAGAAAGGCACCGATTACTCTCAGTTGGGAGGGCTTTGTGCTCAAAGGCCAGTGCGGCCACGCTGTCAGGGTTATAATTTAATTACTGTTTTTTCCCACCTGATTAGGGGATAATGGATACCTGAGGACACAGGGTTCCCTAAGTCAAGGGTAAGCGTGGGAAGGGATTGCTAACAGCCTCCTGACTAGAGGCCATCAGATGGGGCCGAGCTGAACCCAAGAGAAATGAGAAATGGCTGTTTGCTCAAGGCGACTGGACATCCACGACACTCCACGCGGGCGGAGTCTGACGGCGGGAGCACGAGAACAGTTCAGAGACCAACACCAGCCTCCCCCGGAGCTGGACACCCAGGACAGCATCGGGCCCTGAGCCTTGCCAGCCCCGCCCGGGGGAGGCTGGCGGGGACTCGGAAAGGCAGCTGGGGGCTCACAAACACTGGAAGCTGGTGGTGCGGAATGAGCAGTGGGAGGAGGAGCCGTAGAGTCAGCAGCACATGCAGAGAACCAGACCAGGGGGAGGAGACTCCACAGACGCAGAGAAAACATGGATTAATTTGTAAAAAGTTATACCTTGATGGTGGACGTTCGTACAGACAACAGGGGATCATCCACAAGATAGGACAACCCCTACAGGACAACATGCCAACAGAAGATAAAAACACCTTTGATTGTACATTCCGGCATTCCCAAGCTCGGGACTCTCGGTCTCTCAGTCCCAGCATTCCAGCCCTTGCTTCCAGCATTCCCCTCCTTTGTCCCAACATTCCCCGCCCTCGGCTCCAGCACCACCCTGCTCCGACCCAGTTCATTCCTTCCGTCCCAGCATCTCTCCCCGGAATCCAGCATTCCATCTCTCATGGCAATGTCCCACCCCACAATCCGACATTCGCCCCTCGAATTCAGCATTCTACTCTACTCTTTGATGCCAGCATTCCATCCCCAGACCCCCCAAGTCTTTCTTCAGTGCCAACATTCCAGCCCTTCAAACCCAGTAATTCCGCCCATCCCACCCAGCACATGCACTTGGAAGGGGCAGTCAGGGCCGAGCCTGTCCCTTTGGCAAACTCCGAGTCTGAGAAACTGTAGACGCGTGTTGACGCTAAGGGGACCCCCACCCCATTCTGGAAGTCCTCATTGGGCTCAGCTGCCATTCGGTGTCCACATGGACTCCGCATCCTCTAACCTCCTCCCCGGCGGGGCCCTCGGGGTGCTGAGCCTGCCCGCAGCACTCTGGGGCAGGTTCACGGTCAGGAACGGGTTTCAGGCCTCTGGCCTCCGCCCGACTCCTCTCCCCTCCCCGCTATGCCTAGCACTTCTGTTGCCAAGGGTCCAAGGTGGCCCGCTGCCCTTCCGGTCTGGTGGTGAGGCACAGGCATCATTCCACATTCCGACCATGTCGCCCAAAACCATGCCTCTGTGAGCAGTAAACTGTTCAGAAGTGAACTCCCTGCTTCGGAAGTACAGGGGCTGCCTCCTCGACTCCGTCTCCTGTTGCAGGAGGCATGGAGGGAGCAGAGGGACCCACACAGGGCACCCCCCTCGCCCCAGGCGTAGCCCACTCTGACGTAGAAACTCAGCCCCGGCTTTGGAGACGATGCCCATCAGAGCCGGGAGACTGACGGGCAGAGCCTTAGCCTCAGTCACAGCCGGCGGGGGACGGGTGCGGGCGGGGAGAGGCCGGGGAGGCCTCGGGGCGGCTGTAGGGCCGAGCTGGCCCTGCCTGGGTGACCGCCTCACTCCTCGGGGGCTTCCTCCCGAGAGTTGAGAGACCTCATCGCTGCTTTGACTGAAGGGGACAGACTGTGACTGGAAGCTGGGCCAGCGTGGGGACGTGGTGCTGACCCCGGGGAGGGCCAGGGCGTGGCCGGGGCCGGGACTCACAGTGGTCTTCTCCAGGCAGTGCAGCAGGTGGTGGTGCTGGCTCTCGATGAGCGAGGTGGTCTTGCCCGCGTGCTCCTCCTCCGGGGTGCCCTGTGAGGCGGGCGATGAGAATGGAGCTGCGCGCCTTCCCTCCACCCTCTTCCCCACAGAGGGCAGGGGGCGCTGGACAAATCCGGGTGAACCGAATTTAAAGTCACCATGGCACATGCCAGCCACTGGGCTGGGTCCTTGGGCTAAAGCGGGTTTGGCGATAGAGGTGACAATCCCAGGGGAGAGGCATGTGCAGGGGCTGCTCCCTGGGGACGGTGTGGAAACATGTCCACCTCAGAGTTCACACTGGGGCTTTGGGGGGGAGTGCTGGTGCCCCTTGCCTGAGAAAACAAGCCCACCCTCCCCTCCATCTTCCAGCCGGGGCCTCCCTCCCCAACCCCCAAACCTCCCATCTCCTCCATCTCCCATCTCCACCTCCCAGCCCGGGGCCCCCCTCAAACCCCCACCTCCCAGCCTCTCCACCTCCCAATCCAGGGCCCCGGGCACCGACCATCCCCTCCCCCTCCCAGCCAGGGCCCCGGGGGCACCGACCATCAGCTCCAGGGCCTCGTTGAGGAGCCCGTTGCGCTTGCTGTGCAGGTAGGCGTTGGAGCTGCCGGTCTTGGCCACACGGATCCTGGCGAGGCGGGCCTTCTGTGATTGGCAGATAGAGAGGGACGTGTAAGGACCGTGAGCCTGACAAGGCCCGGGCCTGGGCTGTCGCAGGGAGGCGGGGAGGAGGCTGCTGCTTGCAGCCTCAGGGCTCTCTGTTCACAGACCCTGGGCTTGGGCCTGCCACGGTCAGGATCAGAGAGCCCAGGGGTTCCACTCGCCTCTGCAGCCAGGAGTCATCCTGCAGGAGAAGCACCATCATCACAGTCCTCCCTCCTTCCCAGTGTCCTGACCTTATTGGCTCAGCTGCTGGCTAGTTCTCATCGCCAACAGACCGCGCCCTTCCAAGGAGCACAGGCCACAGCCTCCCGCGGCCCAGGCAGTGCCCTCCCTGCCGCAGCGGGTGCCCAGGCCTCAGGCATGCTCAGGGAGAGGGAGGAGGCCAGGAGAGGGGTTCCTGCTGGTTTAGAAAAAGCGGGAGGCTGCGCTCCTGTAGGCAGGGCCCTCCTGCCTCCGGGAAAGTCCACAGGTGACTTCAGCGGGCCTCTGAGCGGGAGGGAGTCCCGGGAAACTGGCCGTTCCCAGCTGGGCTGCTGGCCTGCCAACAGGAAGGAGGGGCTTCCGGCTGCCGGCAGACAACATCCACCCCGTTCCCTGGGAAGCCCCCCGTGGCCAGCGCGTTCTTGCAGGGAACGTTCAACACCCTTTCTGGCTTCTAGAAGGGAAGAGGCCCGGGCTTGAACGTGGGGGTGTCTGCCTCTAACTGCTGAGGCAGCTGGGATGGGAGCCGGGAGGGCAGTAACCTCTTCTCTCTCTGAGCAGACCACTGCTCCAGCCGTTCCCCAGCGTCTCCACTCAAGCCAGGCCTGTGTTGGGGAGCGGCTGGTATTGCTTTGGGTGAGGATTGGGAGGGGAGAGTTGCATATGGATTGTGTTAAGCTCATCGCAGCCGTATAGAACTCGATCACACCACTTAGCGCCCGGCTTCCTGGTGTCGGGGTGTGTGTGTGTGTGTGTGTGTGTCTGTCTGTCTCCATCACTTTCCAAGATGAGAGATGCTCCTCGGTGGCACTTTTAATTTTCTCTCACCCCGGGCTCCATTTGAGGAGCAGACTGTCACTCAGATGTGCGGCAGCGCTTCATCACTCCCCACCGGGATAAAGAGGCTCCACTGTGTGTACAGAAACCAGCACCTGCAGCTGGGTGGGGCTCGCGCAGCTTTCTCTCTGGGGCAGCTCAGAGCGTCAGCTGAGCATGCTCAGGCAGGGCTGGTGCCGGGACGGCCCCGGGGGAGGAAGCCACACCTGCGTCAGGAGCCCCCGGTGATAAATCGCTGAAGGGGGCTCACTCCTCCGTGGCCTTGAGGTCATCTAGGATTTTTTATTTTTATTTTTTAAATATATTTTATTGATTTTTTACGGAGAGGGATAGAGAGAAACATCGATCAACTGCCTCTTGCACATCCCCTACTGGGGCTGTGCCCACAACCAAGGTGAAGTATGGCAGCAACCACACTTGGGTAAAAACTGTGGTTTGAATCGTAACCCTGCTGTTCTGGCTTCGGCACTCGCTGACTTGCTTAAACAACAGGGTAGCTGCCTCAGCTTCCAGGTGGAGACCTGGAGGCTAAGGCAGTTCTCCTGTGCCTGTGGCCCAGGAGATCAATTCCCACTACTGACTCAGTAGCTTCAGGAGTAGAAACTGTAGATAAACTTTAGAGATTAACCACTCAGCTCTGCTTCTGTACTAACTGCTATGCAAGATAGGGCCACATTCCAACGTCCAGCAGGATGTGGCTGGGAACCACCTGCAGAATTTAGCATTTAGAACAAAGAAAAATGTTTGTGGTTTAGACCTTTTAAAAGGACTGCCTACACCTGGAACGGCGCAGTGATGAGTGTGGCCATCTGCGTGTGGTGCTCTTGCAGCGGTCCTGGCCGGTTCAATAAATCCTTGCCTGCTTTTTAATCAATCATCAGCCTCCAGTGGTCTTATTCTGACTCCAGTGGTCTTATTCCGACTCCAGGGTTCGACTCCACAACACAAGGTACATGCCCTTGACCGGAACCGAACCTGAGACCTTTCAGTCTGCAGGCCAACACTCTATCCACTGAGCCAAACTGGTTTTGGCGATGTAGGCTTTTTTAAAGACAAGAAACAGCCCTGGCCCTGTGGCTCCACTGTTTGGAGCGCTGTCGTATGCACCAGGGTTGCAGGTTCGATTCCCAATTAGGGTACATACCTAGGTTGTGAGTTTGATCCCAGGGGGCTGCCGATCGACGTTTCCCTCACACCAATGTGTGTGTGTCTCTTTCCCCCTCTCAAATCAATAAAAACATCCTTGGGTGAGGATTAAAAAAAGAAGGGGAAGAGGCGAGGGGAAGTGACTGACCAGGGTAAGGCAGTGAACTTGCAAGACCAATTCAGATCTGCAACTTCCAGGCCAAATGATGCCTCTGGCACACCCCTCTCCTCCCAGAATTTCAGCTCCTGTCAGGTTTCTAAACGCTGCCAACCCCAGGAAGCCGAGCTCAGCAGGTGTGGGGACGCTGGGGTTAGAGGAGGGGCCTTGGCGGACGCTGCCGCTCTGGGTGCGGTCCCAGGAGCCCTCCCGCTGTCTGGCTGCAGCCCCCTGTGACCCTGAGATCTGTACCTCCTGCCCCAGGGGAGGCAGAGGGAGAACAATGAATGGAAAAGCCCAGAGAACAGGCAGCCACCCTCAGGCATGGATCCCAGAGAAATGTTCCTGTGGAATCTGCCTGAATAGGAGAACCCAAGTGGCCTCGCCCCTCAGGAGATGGCTAAACCACCCCGTGCCTCCACCCCATGGGAGCCGCCAGGCAGCGAGTCAGGGTGCCTACTGAGCAGTCCATTCGTACGACATTTTCCAAATGAAAACATTTGGTACGTGGAGGACACAGGGTTTCCAGACGTTAGGGTGGGAGGGCGTGGGGGTTAAAGCACAGACCTACAGAGGAGGGGACATTGTAGGAAACCTCACACACATCCCAACAACAGAAGCGGAAATCTGAGCTGGACCGATGGGTGGATCACCTGCGATCCGCTACATCGGTGCCCACCCCCTGGCTGTGATAATTTCACGGTGCCTGTGGATCTATCATCTCAATAAGCATTTCCAGTAAAATAAAAAGACAGGCAGGACTGGAGACGTCCCTGATCTCCAAATCCCACGGCTCAGAACCGTCTCAGGCAAACATCTGGGAGTGATTGTTTGCAGGAATTACCGGAGCACAAGCAGCCGGGGAGGGGAGGGAACGGGTGAGGACGCTGAGTCTCGACACCTGAGTTGTGGGCTGAGCTCATAGGAGCCTGTGGCCTGGGCTGAGAACCATCACCAGCCTCCTGGCCCTCTCTGCCCCTCTCTCCCTGCCCTACAACGTCCTGGGACCCCCTGGCCTCAGATCCTAGGAGCGGGCAGGCTCCCCCTCTTCCCCTGTCCCCCCTGCTTTCTCGCCCTTCTCTCCAGGGAAGTCCCAGGTGAAAAGGCGGCAGACTGGCCCAGCAGCTGGAGGCAAGCGTACGCAGGGGAGTGGAAACGCTGCAGTGTTTACCCTGGCTTCACAGGGAGCCTGGGAGGGAGAGGGGGGCCGAGGGGCCCAAGGCGGTGGCAGGGAGGAAGGTACCAACGCTGGGGCCTCCGGATTTAGTCACAGGATGAGCCCTGGAAGCCCACGAGGAAAGGGCCTCAGTTCCACTCTGCGTGGATGGGGTTTTCCAGGAAGCTGGGGGGGAGGAGAGGAGAGAGGGGGCACCAAGGGGAAGGGAGCTGCTGAGTGGGTGGGCACAGCTCCGGCTCTGGGGGAGCCGAGGATTCCTTTGAATCTCACCCGCTGGCCACATCCCTGCCAGCCCGGCCCTGGCCTGTGAGGCTCAGGCTCCCAGCCCCGTGTCCCTGCCCCTTAGGCCTGGCCACAGGCCTCACTCTGAGCAAGATAAGCCAGGACTCGTCAGCACAGGCCAAGGAGGGGGCCACAGGCTACACGATTATGTAATTATGTGATCTGGGTGCTACTATTAAGCGCTGTTACATGTAGGTCACAGCTGGCCCCCTGGGCCTGTGGCTGTATGCCACTGGGACACAGACCCCTGAGGCCCAGGCCTGCCACGTGGGGCTGCCCTGCATGTGCAGGGCCAGCTGCAGTGCAGGGGGCCTGCTCACAGTCAGGGCTCAGCATATGCTTGTGGAGTGAAATGAAAGCAAGAATGAAGTCTGGACACAAAACCTCAGCCTCCACGAACCACCTTTCCACCAGGGCCCTGGCCCCCGTAGCCAGAGTCCCGCTCCAGGTGAGATGCTCCGATGGGCAGACACCCCTCGGCCCTCCCCGGTCCTGGTGAAAGTCGCCATCCGAGCACCTTCACCAGCCGGCGCCGGGAGGCTGTTCAGGCGGGAACGTGGGGCCGGTCAGGACGGGTGGCATCCCCCTGTGCGCCCCAGCCTTTTGCCTGATAGATCCTCCCTTCCTCCAACTGATGGACAGACGTAAACGCCACCTGCAGCCAGACATTCCTGAGCACTGAGCCACCCATCAGCTCCTGCCAAACACCCTAAGCCCCCGATTCCTGAGTCCCTAGGTCCCTTGACCTGGAAGTTTTCTCGTCTCCTCAGCTATGCGTTTTGAGTTCTATGTTCATATTCTACGTTCTACGAAAGCAGCGGAGTCCTGGTCCCGCCCTTGTAGGGTGGGGCATTCCTACCCCTGAGAATTCTAACCTGGCCCGCCTTCCCCTGAGCCTTCCCCCTGTGCCCTTGGCCTAATCTCTGCTCCTGTGGCCTCGAGCAAACGAATTCACAAGTGCTGGCCATTCCCTTCTCACTCTCTGATCTCTCTCAGATTGAACCGGCAGCTGCTTTCTCTCTCCCCAGTCCCTGAGAGCTCAAATCCTGAGAACCTGAGCTCCGGAACAGCCTTTCCCATCTGACACTCATCCTCAGGCCCAGAGACTGCCTTTCTCAGCAGCTTCTATTCCCGCGTCCCCTCTACCCCTGAGGGAGGCAGCAGGAGCTGAGGGCACAGTCCGAGTCCACATCCCGTTCTCTATGTCCAGCCTCACAGATGGAGAGGCACCTCAGGTTTCTTTCCCACGGACTGACCACCATTACTCCCCGACATACGCCGTAACTTCAGGTCCACAAGCCCCTCAAAAGGACCTCGTTAATCTGACCATCGGGTCTTTAATAACAGAGACAAGGAACCCAAATCCAACAACAGGCGAGATCAGGCCCAGCTGAGGCCCATTAGGAGGCCTTCCAGCTCCTAGCCACCACTCACGAACCCCAAACCAAGGGCTGGTCCTCCCGCAGGTAAGTCCGGGGCCCAGCTTCACCTGCAGAAAGGAAGGACACTGAGCCGAGTCCTGCTCAAACACGAGATCCCTGCCTGGGCCCTGCCCAGGTGCAGAGGGAAGGCCACGGAAATCAGACTGTCGTCTGGCCCTCCGGTCTGGCCTCAGCCAGTCCAGCAAGGCCGTCCTCTGGATCCGGTTCGGAGCTTCCAGACCTCCTGGGACTGGCCACGGAAGAAGCTGCCCAGGCCCTGACAGGTCCCCGCAGACTCACTCACCAGAACAGAGCCTTGGGGAACAGCTATGGTGGCAGGTATGCCGATCTCCTTTTTAATGGACACCAGGGCCACTCATTCTGCCCTCTCTGAATTCGCTGGGACTCTTGTCCCCTCCTCAGTCTCTATTATGGGGGTGGACAGATCAGTCTCACAGCCATTTGCCAGCTCACGTCTACACTGCACCTCACTGAATTCCCCCATTCACTCTTCTCATTCTACCCCGGTGTCCGGCCAGGGCTGCCCTGCACCCCCTCATAAAACCCACTTGTCCCAATTTTTTTTTTTTTTAATATTACCAGAAGCCTGGAATGATAGATCCTCCCTTCCTCCAATTGATGGACAGATGTAAACCCCACCTGCAGCCAGACACTCCTGAGCACTGAACCACCTATCAGCTCCCGCCAAACACCCTGAGCCCCGATTCCTGAGTCCCTGGGCCCCTAATCGTAGGCCTTCCATGAAGCCACCCATCCGCGGGTGCTGAGAGCCCTAAGCCCCAACCCCACTCCTCCCCTTAAAAGTGCATGAACCCCACCCCTCGCCCTCTTCCTCTCTCTCTGGAAGCAGCCGGCAGGGTGCTCTGCTCTTCAGTAAAGCCTGTGTCCCAGCATCCCGGGCTGCGGCCCCCTCTGTTTCTCTATCACTTTCCAAGCCGGGAGCTCCGGGGGCCGCCTGCCCGGGAGGCCTCCAGCCCGGCGCCCGCCTGCCCGCCCGCCCCGTCTCGCTCACCTTCTGCGCCCGGCGCTTGTCGGCCCGCTGGTTCTGGTGGTAGATGCGGCTGAAGTTGGACACGATCACAGGCACCGGCAGGGCGATGACCAGGACGCCGCTCAGCGAGCAGATGGAGCCGAAGATCTTCCCGGCGATGGTCTTGGGCACCATGTCCCCGTAGCTGAGGGGAGAGCAGGCGTGAGAGGAGGGGCGTCTGGGAAACCAGCCGGCACCCTGCCACTCACTCACTCACTCACTCACTCACTCACTCATTCACTCACTCACTCACTCACTCACTCATTCACTCACTCACTCATTCACTCATTCATTCACTCACTCATTCACTCACTCACTCACTCACTCACTCATTCACTCACTCACTCATTCACCAACTGCCCAGAGGCCTGAGTGCCAGGTGCTGAGGGAAGCCTATGGCTACTACCATGAAGCGCAGGGACACGGGTGTCACCAGGGAGGGGACATTTATTTTATTTTTTAATTTTTTAAAATATTTTTTAAATTAAATTATTATCTGTGTACATATTTTAACATTGCCCCCCCAGGGAGGGGACATTTGCCCTGGCATCTGAAAGGAGGGCCCAGCCAGGCAGCACCTCGGGAAGAGCATGCTGGGCCGAGGGGACGGACAACCCTGAGGCCTGAGGCCCCAGGAGCTCGGCTGGTTCTAGGAAAGGTTCGGAGCCGGCGGGGCAGAAACCAGGTTGGCTCAGTGGACAGAGCGTCGGTCTGCGGACTGGAAGGTCCCAGGTTCGATTCCGGTCGAGGGCATGTACGTTGGTTGCGGACACATCCCTGGTGTGGGGTGTGCAGGAGGCAGCTGGTCAATGCCTCTCTCTCATCGATGTTTCTACCTCCCTATCCCTCTCCCTTCCTCTCTGTAAGAAATCGATAAAATATATTAAAAAAAATAAAAATAAAGGGCCGGCAGGGAGGAAGGGGGGAGCTGGACAAGGGGGCTGGGGGCGGGCAGGGGCCCGACTGCACGGAGCCACGAAGAGCCACGGATGAGCCTTAACCAGAGAAGCAACGCGGTCCCGTTACGACACGAACAGAAGCCAAACCCACCTGCCGGCAGATCTCTGACTCCGAAAGCCCCGCTGTGCCCACCTCACCGCCCCAGAGCCGGCGTCCCCATCCCTCCGCCGGCAGCTGTGCGGCTCCCGGGTGCCCTCGGGGGGTGCAGCCGGGAGGACCCGCTCCTCTGCCTTCTCTTTTCTAGAAGCCACGCAGAGCGAGGGCGACCGCCAGCTCTGAAACTCAGTCCCGGGAGCTGGGACTCCGGCCAGAGCCACCCCTAAGGGCTGCACGTCATGGCGGCTGCGGCCCCAAGACCGTCAGCCCCTGCGGCCAGCGCCTCCCTCCCACCAGTGACTCCATAGCCAGCGCCTCCCTCCCACCAGTGACTCCACAGCGGGGAGCGTTCAGCCTCGTTAGTGGGAAACTGAGAGGCTCATTAAGCGAAGAGCAAACAGGTGGGCCTCGTCTGGGGCAGCCGGACACCGCTCCGAGCCTGGGCGTCTGGGCAGGCTCAGGATGGCCAGGGACTGTTGCTGCGGGAACAGCGAGGCTCAAGGTCGCTTGTCCTGAGGGGCGGGCAGCGTCCTGGGCCCACAGAGATGGGGGGAGGGTTTAGGGGGGACGAGGAGGAAACCTACGCCCACTGTGGACAGATGGCCCGCTGGCAACAGAACAGAGAGAGACAGAACCACCACCAGCTTCAGGCCCTTTTTTCTCTCAGTTACTCTCTCCCTAGAGGGGGCCCTTCTCACACGAGAGCCTGAACTTCCTTTGCTGGCGAGCACCCGGTGGGTGGTCTCTGAGAAGGGCCAGGAGCCAGGAGATGGCTGTCCAGCCCCCCTGGCCACTGCCGTCCCCACCGCCCTCCTCCGCTTGCCCAGGGCAGGAAGAACTGGGCCAGGAACAGACACGTGGAACGTGAGGGAAGAGGCGTGAGAAAAGGAAACACGAATCCACCAGCTCCATTTTCCGAAGCTGTCCCCTCCTTTCCCTCTTTCCCCTCCTCCTCTCACTTCCCCTGCTCTGTGCTGGGGAGGGTGACCCCCGGGGCAGGGGGCTGCGGTGCTCGCCTCAGACTTCACTGGGGCCGGTGGGGCAGTTGCCGTCCCCCTCCCCCCGGCGTCCCCGCAGCCCCAGTGACGCAGTGACTCAGGCACAGGGACACCCCCCCTCCCGATGTGGAAGGCTAATTAATTTGCATTCGGATTTGGGGATAATTAAACTTTTCCTCTGAACTGAAGCTGCACAAACCACCCCCTTGTACGTTAATTGCCGCCTTTACTTCCTCCTCCAGGTGCCCAGAGGGAAGCGGGAGCCGAGCTCCCGTCGATCCTGCCGCTCAGACGTCAGGGCTCAGGCCGGTCGCCCGGTCTCTCCTGGAGGCCGGCTCCCGCTGCAGACACAGGCTGGATCTTGGAAGAGAGGGGAGGGGCCGTCTGAGGAGCAGAGGAGGCTGGCCAGGGTGGGAGGGAGGCACTGCCCAGGGGATGGAGCACTCGGCTGAAGTTGAGGAGGGACAGGGAGCTGAGGCGCAGAAGCTGGGGTGCAACAGGCCAGCCCCTGGGGGCCGTGTGCAGCTGGGACAGGCCTTGTCTGAAGGTCCAGTCCTGACCGCTGGCGCCTCTGATTCTTCCCGTGCCCCAGGGGGTGGCCGTGGAGTCGGGACAGGCAGAGAGGACAGACAGGGAGGTGGACAAGAGGCAGAGACAGGACGGAGGTGCCAACGATGTGGCTACTCGGCCGTGTACAGCCACCAGGTGTCCCCACTCACACAGCAAGCACCCTCCATGCCCACGGCAGACCCAGTGCCAGCCCGCCCCCCTGTACTCCTTCATGGGGGTGCTTCCTTCCCCGCCTCCCTCTGCCCCACCCTTTGAGACCCAGGAGACTCCCTCCTCTGCCCCTCCCCTCCCCCCCGCCTCTGTCGGCTCTGAGCCCGCCATCTGAGTCCCAGACGCTGCCAGGGTCTCCAGGGGCTTCCAGGGGACAAGTGCAGCCCCAGCCGGGCTGGGTCCTGTCCCCGCCTGGTCCTGTCCAGGCTTGGGGTCCTGTCTCATTCACTGCCCACCACCAGCGGCTCCCCGCACACCCAGGGGGCAGCCAGGCCTGCGCTCAAGTCCCTGCTCCGCCTACAGCTCCCGGGCCTCAGTTTACCCTCTGATCCGGCAGGCTGTCCTGAAAGTCACGCTCGTAAAGGCCCTTTATACACCGTGGGGTGTTTCATAAAGACAAACTAGTTTACTGTGTGTGTGTGAACTATGCACATGTGATTAGCTGTAGTTGTACATAAGCCTGGTGTCGTTCTGTGACTACATGTAACCGGTTATAACCGAGCCCTCAGTTACTCTGCATGAGGCAGCCTGGCCACCTCGGCTGCGCACTGTGGGGCACCCATCACCCCCGCTGGGTCCTCTCAGACCCCCGGCTCCAGGACAACCAGCCGGAACCGAGGCGGCACAGGCACTGGCCGCACGTTGGGAAGGAGGCGGGCACTGGCGGGGGGACGGGAGGAGAAGCTGGGAGCTGGGCTATGGCGTCTCAGGGGGCTGGTGAGGGCTGAGCAGGGCTTGGTGGGGGTGGAGGGGAGAGGAGGAGGGGAGGGCGGTGCTGGGAGGGCAGGGAGCCGCTCGCTTGCTCCATGTGGGAAACAAGGAGAAACCTGTGTTTTGATTAGTAAGAGCCTCAGGGGCTACGGAATCTAACACCCTGGCCTCGCCCGCTTTGTTTCAACAACAGAAAAGCATTTTTCTAGACTGAGAAAAAGTGGTGTCACACTTCCTCCATGCGTGCGTGTGTGTGTGTGCGTGTGTGTGTGTCTATGTGCTCGCGTGCGTGTGCGTGTGTATGTGCGCATGCACGGTGCACATCCTTAGACAGAGGGCTCTCCAAGAACAGGGCCCCGGTCTCGGTTAAAACTATTGGTCGGTTGGTGGCCTCTGTGCTGGGCCGCCTCCCGCCCTCGTACGGCTGGTTCCGGCGGCGCAGGCACCGCTGTGGCCTCGGTCCGGCCTGCGCCGCCCTCTCCATCGCTGATGGTATCTGTGAGGCAGCGCCGGAAATTTCCAGCAAGAAGCCGCTTCCTGGCCGCGCCGCCCGGGCGGACAGGATATTGCTGAGACGGACGGGCTGGACGCGGCCCGCGGCCTCTCTCTGCCCTTTCCGCCCCTGACAGGGGACCTCCCGGATGGGCTCCCGGCTCCCTCTTGGTTTAGAATAAACCGGGTCAGTCCTGGCTCTCCCTGCCCCGCCAGCCTTCATGTCCGTCCTCTGATCGGGGGTTTGCCGGGTGCCTGGCTCAGTGGCCATTGGTCTCTGCCGGGCCTTTCCCTCCCCAGAGGGGCAGGCCCCTCCTGCTGAGACCACCCTCGGGGAGCGGTGGCTCCCGGTCGCCCTGAGACCGGAGGGGGCACTGGAAGGAGCTCCACCCGCTGTGCCCGTGGCTGCACCCTCAGGCCCCGGCACAGGCTGGCATGCCCCGGACGCTGCCGTCTGGCGGAGGGACGGCAGGTTCTGAGCGCGGTCCCTTCTGTGCCCGGGATGATCACAGCCGATGAGCGGGGCCAGGACACGGAGAAGCCTGTCTCCAGCCCAGAGCCGGCAAACCCGTGCTTCCTGCAGGCCTTTCTGCGGAGGGAGAGGGACCCGGGAGCCGGCTGGCGGCTGCAGCCCCAGGCTCCCTGACAGAGAGGCCGAGGAGCCCTCGCCGAATGGCAAGCAGAAGAGGACGTGGCCGTGGCTTCCCCAGCGTGGACGGGACTCTGTGCACGAGACTCTGTGCACGAGCCGGCCTGGCCCTGGCGGCTCACAGATTGGGGTCTGTGCTGCGGAGGGCTGCGGCAGCTGGGAAAGGGGGAGCTAGGAAGTGGGGGGTAAAATCATTGGTCTCATCACGTGTACCCCTCGGGCCTCCGCCAGTCACTCCCGCAGCTGCTGGGGCCGCGGGCAGGCTGACTCACACCTCCCAACCCCACATCCACACCCACTGTGAGCCGGTTTTTCTGTCTGTGTAAAACTGCCGAGTGAGGGGCGAAGGGATGTGGCCAGGGACCAAGGGAGGCCCAGCCCACCACCGGGTGTGAGATCCAGCCGGGACCCCCCTCCTGTGTCCCTGTCCTCCTCTGGGGGCATTTGGTGACCTCTGAG